TATCCTGAGCCAGACACTGACACACCTACTCACATTACCCCTACTACTGTGTCCACTCATCTCATCTCGTGCCTTCCTATCTTGTGCTGTCCCTCTACACTTCCAAGCATCATGTCATTGTCCAAGGCCTTGTCCCTCTTGGAAACATGCCCAAAGTATGTCGTACAGAGCTTCAAAATCTTTGTCCCCAAGGTGCAATTTCGTTTCACCCCTTACATGACAGACCAGTTCGTTCTCTTGGTAGTCCATGCTGTATTCAAGATTCTTCTCCAGCATCATAACTCAAAGGCATTGGTTCTTCTTCTATCATACTTAGTCATTATCCAACTCTCTGATGAGTAGCAGATAATTGTGAAGACCATGGGTTGACTCTGGCACACCTTAGTCTCTAGGCTGACATCATAGATGATTAAAAAGCAACACCACCACTAAACAAAACAGAATTATGGGGGGGGGGGAATAAACATGCTTTTGAAATAGAATCGATTAAAGTAAGATGGAATTAAAAGGAGGTTATAGCTTGCCATGAATTTTGTAACCATAATGATAAAAATATGATGTCCCTTAAAAAAAATGGCATGGCTTGGGTTAGGTGTACCGTAAGGCTCAAAGTGGCATTGTGGCTCTTCTTGAGCACTTAAAAGATGTCTTTTGTCACTGCTACTGGGGTGAGATGGTATCTCATTGTGCTTTTGATTTACATATCTCTTACTGTCAGTTATTTTGAACTTTATGTATCTGTTGGCCATCAGAATATCTTCTTCTGTGAAGTCTTTGCCCATTTTGTAATTATGTTATCAGTCTTTTTCTTGTGGAGGCCCTTTAGGAATCTGTAAACTTTTGATATGAGGCCCTTATCCGAAATGGTATTGCCAAATGTGTTTTCCCAGGCAGTAGGTTTTCTTTTTACTCGGTTGGAAAATGTTTTTGATGCACACAGGGATTTAATCTATAGAGGGTCCTATTCATCAATTTTATCCTCTCCAGATTGTGCATTTCTGGCTATGTTTGGCAGTCTCTTCATAACATAGATTAGGCCATCTAAGCTTGATTGCAGTTTGTCTTTAATGAACTTTATGATTTTGGGCTTCACTCCCAGGTCTCTGATCCACCTTGAGTTGATTTTTGAGTATGGTGTGAGATGTGGATCCTGTTTCAGCTTTCAGTAGCTAGCAGTCTAGTTTTGCCAAAACCATTTGTTAAAGAGGTTGTCATTTCCTTATTTGATAGGGTTTTATTTTCTTGTGCAAGCAATAAATGTTAGAGAGAATACGGAGAGATAGGGACTCTTAAACACTCTTAGTGGGATTACAAAATGGTCAACCACTCCAGAAGGCAGTTTGCTGTTTCCTTAAAAAGCTGAACAAAGAAATTCTAAGTGACCCAGCTAGTCTACTGCTTGGAATATGTTGTTGTTGTTGTTGTTCTTATGTGCCGTCGAGTCGTTTGTGACTCATAGCGACCTTATGTACAACAGCCCTAAACCCTGCTCTATCCTGTGCCAATCGCACTGCCTCTGATACACCAACAAGCAGAGCCAAAGAAGAAGAAATAGATGATTTCTACCAACTCTTACAGTCAGAGATAGATCAAACATGCAATCAAGATGCATTGATAATAATGAGTGACTGGAATGCAAAAGTTGGGAAGAGAGAAGAAGAATCAGTAGTTGGAAAACATGGGCTTGGTGACAGAAATGAAGCTGGAGATACAATGATTGAATTTTGTACAATCAATGACTTATTCATTGCAAATACGTTTTATAACAAACATAAATGCAGGTTATACACATGGATTTCATCTGATGGTATGCATAAGAATCAGATCGATTACATCTGCAGAAAAACCGCTGGAGAAGCTCAATATCAGCTGTGAAAACAAGGCCAGGAGCTGATTGTGGAACAGACCACCAACTACTCATATGCAAGTTCAAGCTAAAACTGAGGAAAATGAAACCAAATCCACAGGAGCCAAAATATGACTTTCATTTCATCCCACCTGAATTTCAGAATCATCTCAGGAACAGGTTTGAGGCCTTGAACACTAATGAGTGAAGACCAGATTAGTTGTGGGAGGATGTCAAATGTATCATCCAGGAAGAGTGCAAACGGTCATTACAAAGACAGAAGAGGAAGAAAAGACCAAAATGGATGTCAGAAGAAACTCTGAAGATTGCACTGGAGCGTAGAGAAGCCAAAGCACAAGGAAGAATTCAAGATACTAAAGAGCTGAACAGAAGATTCCAAAAGGCAGCTCAGAATGACAAAGCAAAATATTACAATGAAATGTGCGAGGAGCTAGAGTCAGAAAATCAAAAGGGCCAAACTCGTTCAGCTTGGAATATACCCTAAGAAAATTTGAACTAAAACATAAATGTACACCAATATTAAAAGCAGCATTATTTACCATTGCAAGAACATGGAAACAGCTCAGATATCCAATCACAATTGAATGTATTGAGAAATTATGGTACATTCAAATGATGGAATACTACACAGCATGCAGGAGCAATGATTTTTGAAAATCACTACTTAGGAGGGACTGGAGATCATTACAAATACTATATAAGACCCTATTATAGCAAGATAACTAGTAAAACATGTATGAAAATCCAAGATATGGAGGGTAGAAGCAAAGGGGTAAGGATGGGCAGAGAGGAAATCATAGGGTGGCAAAATTTGATGGGTAGAGGGAGGGGTGGGTAAAGGAAAGGGGAACAATCCATTGTGAAAAACAATGTATACAAACTTTGTAAATAAACCAGTATAAAATAAAAAATTTATTTTTAAAAAAGACATCATTTATAGCAGGTTTGTCTATGCAGTGAGCTGTTTAATTTGATTGTTGCTGTCATAAGCATTGATTGTGAATTCAAGTAAAATTGAATTCTTGGCAACTTCAGTATTTTCTCTGATTAACCATATCTTAGGAACCAGTAAATATTTGCTCTATGAATTAAGGAATGAGTTATGTTTACTAGGGCATCTCAAGAAATGTGAGAAATCATAATTACTTTCAAATATTATATAATATTTATGAATACTTTTGTAATAATTAAGGAATTGGGCATGTTAAAGTAGATAGACAGTAAACATTTATTCATTACAAGTTTGTAGGTTTTGCCGTATTGTTTTGAATTAAAATATTCACTTTATTAAACCAAAGCAGTCTTGTCCCCTTGTTTCTATTTTATGCTTCTCAAACACTTGATTGAAGTCTTGTCTGGCATGAAACCAAAAGCTTAAAATGAACATCTGTGAACCAAGGACTTATAAGAAAATAATAATTAAGCACTAAAGTTAAGTTTCTCAGCTTGTGGAATGAGCCATGAGGAATGGATTCTGAGCTTGAGTAATTCAACTTGAGAGAAAAGGAGTCCTGACGGTATAGTGTTCAGTACTAGGCTGGAAGGGTAGGAGCTCATATCTACCAGCTGCTTTACAAGACAGGACAGTATCTTCTCCTTAAGATTTACAGCCTCATGAAATTACTGGAGAGTCATCATGGGTTGGAATCATTTGGAACGTTGTTACATGCCATGAAATCAACAACTCGTAGCAACCCTATGAACAACAGATTTGACCACTACCCTATGCCGTGTTGACTTTACCATCTCTGGTGTATTTGAGCACTTGGTTACAGTGACAGTGTCAATGCATTTAGGTGAAGATCCTCTTGTTCTCTCACCCTTCACATTTCCATGTCTTTTATCAAGGACTGGCCCCTTTGGACAGTATACTCATAGCGCACAACACAGAAGTTTCAGCATCCTTATCTCTAAGAAGTACCTTGGCTGCATTTCTTCCAAGACAAACTTGTTTGTTCTTCTGGGGCACTCAATGCACGGGGTATTCACTCTTCTACAATACCACAATTCAAAGGCATTGATTTTTCTACTGTCATCCTTATCCCTTGTTCAACTTTCAGATGCACAGAAAGTAATTGAAAAGACTACAGCTTAAATCAGATATATCTTAGTCTTTAAAATGACATCTGTTGCTTGAGCTCTTTGGAGAAGTCTTGACAGCCAATTTTTTCATTGATGCATGTGTATTGTTTTCCTGACTGCTGGTACTAAGAGTTTTGATTGTGGATCCCAGTAAGGTGAATTAGTTGATAACTTCAATCTTTTCCCCATCTATCATGATATTGCCTATTGATCCAATGGTGAAGATTTTGTGCTGGTTGTTTTTTATATTGAGATGTAATTAATATTGAATGCTGTAGTCTATGATCTTCTGCAATGATTCAAGCCTCTTCACTTTCAGCAAGATTGTGTCATCTGCATAAAATAGGTGTTTGATGAGCCTTCTTCGAATCATGTCATTCTTCTTCATAAAGAGCAATTTCTCAAATGATTCTTAGCATACAGGCACCTTTCCCAGTTTTAAACATTCAGCGTTCCTTTGTTGGGTTTAGACAATTTTGCCTAGGTCTAGGTATAGTTTTAGAATGAGCACGATTACGTGTTCAGGGATTTCCATTCTTTTTAATGTTAATCATAATTTTTTATGACCCTCGTGGTCAAATGCCTTTGCATAGTCAATAAAATACAATCATCGCCTCTGAATTATAACTGGGAGGCTGCTGTCATGTACGGTCTAGTCAGAACTCACTCATAGGGAAGGGTTTTCAGAGGTTGTAAAACACTTAGGAGGAAATTGCCCGTCTTTATCCTGTGGAGCAGCGACAGGATTCGAATCACATTTCTTTTGTACTGGCTGGGCAAATCCTTACCAGCAAGTCACCAGAACTTCTAGAAAAGAATGGAGTTAAAGTGACTGACCAACCTAACTAAGATTTCAGGAATCCAGGCAAGCCCAATTCAAAAGGTGACTACAAAGCTTCAAAGCCCCTAGGGCCCCGCCTGACTCTCTTCCTCTCCCCCACCCCCACCTCCCGCTCCCCTCCCCCACAGTTTAGATCACAGAGGTCTCTGCCTCACCCACTCTGAGGCCCTGCCCTTTTACTGCAGATGTCGTAGAAACCCAGTAAGCAGTATGCCTGCCACCACCCTAGAAAGGCAGTTGATTGAGCCCACGGCGTCAGTTGTAGACAAGTTACCATCCCTCTTGCCACCACCAGCAGCTCCAATCAGAGAGAAGCCTAAGAAGGGTCTGCTCCACCTGCATTACCCGAGAAGATCTCACCTGTCTAGACCCATTCTGCGCTGGCTGCAGGGCCTGGACCTCAGCTTCTTCCCTAGGAATATCACCAGGTGCTCCAGCTAGCCTGGCCCAGGCCCCAGAACACCTGTGCTGGCTAACTCATGCCCAGGGATCAACTTGCAGCCCCTAGAGGGCCTCAATGCCTCTGAATGTGACCTTTGTTCCAGATTATTCCCTTAGAGACACAAATACACCTTTCCTCTCTGGGAATCGGAGCAGAAAAAAAAGATAAGAGGAAGCATTTCATTAATTCACTTAATCACTTGTTAACTTTCTACATTTCAACTAATACAGAATGTGTGGATGACTACAAAAAGATTAAAATAATCAAAGCTTTTCACAGATATTGGCATTCATCCACGTAGAGGTCAATTTACTCTCCATGAGAGATGTCATATAGTTTGAAGTTTATTAGGGATTTATCAAAGTTGTGGCTTAACTGTAGCCATCTTGAAATTAACTGGCAGTTAATAATGTTCTGGGAATGTAAAACTAAACTCTAGGAGAAATAGGACAACTTGTTTACTAATTTTGCTGCTGTGTGCAAATATAGGAATTCTGGGGGTTTAACCAGCAGAAAATAGCCTACTTATCCGAAAGCAGCATCGGTTAGATGCCAGTTAGAATCCTCCAGCTATACGGTGGTAGAAAAATGGGCGAACCCTCATTCGCCTCCCGTGTCACTTATAGCCTCTGGAAAACCGCTAGTGGGTCAGCTATGAGTTAATTCCCACTGGAGGATAATGTGTTTGAGGGCTTTGATGTTGTTTTTTAAGTTTATGCAAAAATTATAAAAAATTTAAAGTGCATATTATGGATCATTAGAGGAGGTTATTGATATGCAAATATAAAATACAAGTAAAACTTAATAATTTGGATTTATAAAAACAACTCCAAAGTTTTGGATTTTTTCCCCCCTACTAGTTTATTTACAAAATTCTAACACAAATTTGAACAAATTCTTTCAATTTCCCTCACCACCCCCAGCCATTAAATTGTTCAACCCAATGACTAATCCCCCCTTCCCCCTACACATCCATATCTCTCTGCTTCCAGCATCTCTCACCCCTCCTGGATCCTTATACTCATTCTATAATAACAGTTTTATACAATCTTTATCCTTATGGAACTGAGTTAGTTCACTTTGGATATTTTTAAAAATAATCTCATTGCAATCTAGTCACTAAAAGTTCAGGGCAACCTCATGTGTTAGAACAGAACTGTTCCACAGAGTTCTGTTGACTGCAGTCTTTATTGAAGCAGATGGCTATGTCATTTCTTCTGAGGCTAAAGTGAGTAGATTTCCAACCACCATGGTATTTTCTAACAGAGATTCAAGTCAGACCAATCACTCAACAATTTGTGCATTTTCATGTTACTTCCTGTCCTTGTGGAATACAAAGGTGATATTAATGACCCAGTAAAACAAACTTCATAATAAATTACACTAATTTTGTTGTTTCATTGCTATGGAGCAGAGATTTTTCCAATGGCTACCTAATTGCAGAAATACTCAGTGCATATTTCCCCTGGGACCTTAAAATGCCATCCTTTCAAAATGGAACATCTTTAAAAGTCAAGTTGGATAACTGGGCACAGTTGGAGAAGGTAGATTAACAATTTTTTATGCTTTTACTTATGCTATTGCTTATTACTTATTATGTTGGTTTTAAAAATGACACTCCTGAAGTCTTGGTTATCTCTACGTGTATGTGATTGTGCGTTAGAGCATAATGTTACTTTGTGACAGCTTGTCCCCAAGTATCTCAAAATAGAGTATTAAATTCCAAGTTCTCATGCCATATGCCACTCATGAAACTAGAAGTACTAATTGCAAATTATGATATGGTATAAAGAGCAATTTCTTGATAAATAATAATGCCTTTTAATAATACATACATGAAATATGTTGAAAGATATTTTTAATATAAATGCCTATGATTATAATATTTTCTTTCTACTATTTAAGTTCCTTGCAAGGAAAGGACTCAAATTGCCTAAGGATCTAATCTATGGAACCATTCACTGCAAAGCTGGCATCCCTGAAATACTGATACAAGAGCTTTACAAACTGTTAACACATCGAAAGTGAGTTATTTGGAATTTTTCTGGTCTATAGATTTCATTGTGAAACTCTTGATGATATAAATCTTATTAGTAAATTTATGTCTTGTAATTAGTATTTTTTTTAATTTCTAGGAATAAAAGTATCCAAGATGACCTTGTGAATTTCATAGATTATAATTATCAAAAGCAGTTACCTCTGGTTCCCAGGTCTATAGCTTCCAAATCTATTAAAAATAACACTCGGTTATCAGAGTTACTAAATCCCAACACACTCACCAGTGAACTTAAAGAAGAATTCCTCTTCTTTTTACAAATGCTTCACAGAAAATTGAATTCAAGTAAGTATTCTTTGGGCATGCTTTTGTTGTTATGTGCCGTCGAGTTACCTACGACTCATAGAAACACCTATGTCAAGAGCTATGAACTCTGCCCTATCCTGAGACAATCTCATCATCTCTGACAGACCAAATTTCCACTTCTTCAGTCACTGAGCCAATCCATGTCATCCTGGGTCTTCCTCTCCTACTCTGTCCCTCCCCCTTTCAAGCATGATGTTCTTCTCCAAGGACTGGTCTCTCCTGACCATGTGCCCAATGCATGTGAGATGGAGCTTCAAAATCTTTGCCTCCAGAGAGTTGCTTAGTTTCATCCTCTCCCGGACTGACCTGTTTGTTCTCCTGACAGACCACGGTACGTTCACACTCTTCTCCAGTGCCACAGCTCAAAGGTATCGATGTTTTCCTTAGTCATTGTCCAGCTCTTCGATGCATAGCAAGTAATTGTAAAGACCATGGCCTGTATCAGGCACACCTTAGTCTCCAGATTGACATCATTGCTCTTCAGTACTCTAGAGAGGGCCCTGATAGCAGACTTTCTCAATGCAATTCTTCTTTTGATTTCCTGACTACTGGTGCCAAGAGTGTTGATCAAGGAACCAAGCAAACTAAAGTTGGTAAAAATCTCAATCTCTTCTTTGTCCATCATGAAGCTGCCAGTTGTCTCAGTGGTGAGAATCTTTGTTTCCTTGATGCTGAGTTTGATCTATATTGAAGACTAGAGTCCTTGACCTTCTGCAGCACATGCCTCAGGTCCTCCTCAATTTCTACAAGAGGTTTGGGTCATCTATATAACACAGGTTGTTGATGAATCTTCCTCTAATCCTGTTGCCACAATCCTCCTCATAAAGTCCAGCCTCCCGAATAATCTGTTCTTCATATAGTCAACTGTATTTTTCCAAGTTCAGAAAGGATATTTTTGAACCCAAAAGTAATAGAAGCCTATCACTGTCTCATTACTGCTTTCTTCAGGTATTGATTTCAAGTTCTTTTATGCTATCAATAGAATGGTTTATTAGCTAAAGAGACACACAGGTATTTGAGTTACAACAACCATACTTACCCAC